AGATCACTTTCTTTGTCCTTTGATAAGATGGCTCGGGGTGGCCTTCTGCCTCGAGGCCTCTTTGTGTCTTTGTCTTTGCGTCTTTGTGCCTTTGCTCTTCCAGTAGTGGCTGTGGCGCATTGTCTCACTCAGGTTTCTGTGTGGCTATCTGGCGGCACCCTGGGTTGTCGCGGGGGACGGGGGGGGGATCGCCCCTCGATGCGTCAGTTCGATTCGGTCACCGTGGTTGGTCGTCAGTCCCTTCTTGGTGACCCGTGCGGCGGTCTTTCAGATGGTGGAGGGGACACAAATCGGCGTGGATGCCCGGTAGCATTCCGGCTCCGTCGTGGAGGTGGGAGGGGTAAGTACTTGTCCTGTTCCTTGCGTCGTCTGAGCTGGTCGCGGTGATTAGCCCAAAAGTCATTGGCTCCCTCTAGGATGTCAGGGGGTGTCATAGGGTAACATAGCGTATCTCATTTATGTAGTGCAGGAGTACATTTTCGGGACTAGCGTGTCTGGCTGTCCCAAGCCACTGGTTCATCGAGTGGCGCGACGTTCTGTACGTCGTGGGGCGCGGTCTGCGTCCTTCTCCTCCCCGTCATCAGGAAACATCCCCTCTGTGAAATAGTATCATAAAGGGATAGAATTGTCAAGTAATTACTAGACTATCCATGTAGATAAAGCTGTATTGGGACCTTTTACAGTATATACCAGCACATACCAGCACAGAAGTCCAAAAAGTAGGAAATATGGAAGGTCCCCCTGAGCATTTGTCATATTTTTGGTGAAATGTGCCCAAATATGTGGATTTTTGTTCACTTTTTGGGCATATTTTGGTGATCTGTAACATTCATGAGCCCTCAAATATGATATATTGTGGCTCAAATATGATCATAAACTCTAGACTGTATGTCACATGTTGTTAGATGTCTTCAGATTTTGGTCATTGGTACATGACATTACATCATACCCATGATATTTGTATGCATATATATGATTCAATCTCCTCACCACCCCCCATGAAGTTCAGCGGAGGTTAGTGCACAAAGCCAGAACAGATGATATATTCAACAAATACATCACAACAAGCTCTATGTTAATGCTGAGCCAACTGCAGTGTGCGGCTGCAGTGCACCCACCAAGCACGGGGTATCGGGATGCCATCGAGGGGGGGGGGCAAGAGTAGAGCAGGTCCAAGTCCAAGTTGCGTGAACACGGTCAATTGGACGAGGTCGTCCTTGCGCGGGTCGAAGAGCGGGTGAGGCGCGCCAGAAGCACCACGTCCGAGATCCGCCTATTTGTGGGACGTGCTGGTGGTGATGGTGCGGGGCATACGAGCTCGAGGTGACGTCCAAGATCGCCTTGGGTTCGGCGTGCCGCATCGGGGGCGGCCGCAGGCGCCTGGGACAAGGCGCGGGGCAAAGCTGCCGAGCTGATCTTGAGCCACCGCGAGAATTTGGCGACATTGGCGGAGGGCATGGCGAGTTGCGGGGTGGGAAGGTGACGGGTGGCTGCTGGACGGAGAGCATGGGCGATCGTGCCCGTCTGCGGGGGCGGCACTCGGGCACACTCGGGGACGTCCTTCGGGGGTGGGGCGGGCCGCTTGGACCTGTCACGCGGCGAGGTCGGGGGATGTGGGGGCAGAGCTCAGCAAACAGAGCGACCGCGGGCAGAGCCTGTATGCACTCAGGACCTGCTGCGCAAAGAGCGAGCGCGAGCGCGGTCGCGAAGCCAGGGGCAAGCGCGTTGGCGCAGTCTAAGACGGGTGGGTGCAGTGAGGGGCGAGCGCGTTGGCACAGACGGGTCATGCGCATTGGCGCAGCAGACGTCGGGCGTATTAGCGCCGTGGAGGTGGGCGCGTTGGCGCAGCGGAGACACCGAGCGAGACCGCATTGGCAGCTCACACCCGGGGCTGGGCGGCGGTAGGGGAGGGAAGTTGCGCAGAGCGCGACCGCGTTGGCGGCTCGCGCTCGAGGCAGACGGCAGGCGCGGGGGGTTGAAGCAGCGCCGAGCGCGACCGCATTGGCGGTTCGCGCTCGGGGATGGGCAGACGGCAGGCGCGGGGGTGGAAGCAGTGCCGAGCGCGACCGCATTGGCGGCTCGCGGCTGGCGCTGGGCGGAAGGCGGGTGGGCGAGCGGAATCGGCGTCGAGCGCGACCGCGTTGGCGGCTCGCGCTCGGGGAAGGGCAGACGGCAGGGGCGGGGTGGAAGCTGCGCCGAGCGCGACCGCGTTGGCGGCTCGCGCTTGGGACCGGGCAAACGGCAGAGACGAAAGCTGAGGGCGGCGGGCGGGCACTTCGAGTGCTGGGGGCAGTTTATGACGGTGAGCGCGGGGATTTGCGCGTTGATGCGCGCACTTGCGAGCGCGGCGCTGGGCGTACTTGACAGCGCTGAGTTGTGCGCACTTGCCAGCGCGGTGGGCTGAGACGGCAACACGGCCAGGTCACGTGACATTTGGATTCGCGTTGAATCTCTAAGTCCGCGTTGGCTACCGTACATGTGTCGCTATGTCCTAGCAGTCCGAGAGTACATACAGATATTTTTGAGCTCATCGAGTTGTTAGTGATAGCTGAATGGGACATGAGACAAGTTAACTATACCTGAGATAAAAGCACCACAACAGTGTCTCCTGGCCATCAGTAATCTGGAGGGTTCATAACCATGATGTGTTAGCTATGGAAATCT